GCTGGGCTGACGGTCAAGATGCTCGCCCTCGGCTTCGGCCTGCTGTCATTCGCGCTCGTCTTCGTCGTGCCGTACATGTCCGGCCTGGCGCCGGTTGCCATCGCGCTGTCCAGCTTCTTCTCGGGCGCGCTCTTCGGTCTGTTCATGCTCGGCATGTACGTGCCCTTCGCCGACGGCGTGGTGAGTAACCAGGCCTCAAGGCCGTGCGCTGCACCCTGAGCCGTGCCCCCCCCCTCCCCTCCACTAATATACCTCTCCAGATCCCGAAACATCTCCCCCTAACAGCTGATTTGCTTCACGCAGGGCGCGACCGCAGGACTGCTCGCCGGCATAGGCGTCGTGGGTTGGATGACTATCGGGGCGCAGGTGGCCACGGAGGCAGGCCAGATCGTCAATCCCCACCTGCCCCTGTCTACCTCCGGCTGCTCCGCCAACGCCTCGCTGTCCCTGAGGTGAGTAGGGGTGCAGGGGTGGAGCCCTACCCGGAGCCCTGCCGGCCGCAGGCGCGACGTAGGCAGACCCGCGTTGCAGCGGTACGCCGCGGGCGAGCCTACCTACCCGGCGCTCCTACTCACCAGTTCCGTTCGTTCATTTGCGTTCCAGGGCCGCTGCCGTGGACTACGCCGCGGCGCCGTACCGCGTGTCCTTCCTCTGGTACTCGGCGCTGTCCCTCGCCATCACGTTCGCCACGGGGGTGCTGGTGAGCGCCGTGAGCTCGCGCTTCGCCGCGAAGCCGTCGTCGCCCAGCGCAGCATCGACGCCCACCTACGGCACCACCACGCCGGCGTGCTGGGCGGCCGTGTCGTCCGAGGGCAGCCTGGAGGACGAGAAGGAGGACGCGCGCCCGGAGAAGCTGCTGGTGCGGGCGGGCGACAAGGAGGCGAGCGCGCTGCAGGTGAGCGTGCTGGGCAGGCTGCCCGCCGCCCGGCCCAACGGCTCCGGCCTCAATCTCGTCAAGGCGCGCCAGCTGTGAGGCCCGATGTGACGTCAGAGCCCGCGTCAGTGGCGTTGGCGGCGTCAGTCGCGTTGCAGTACTCGCTTGTGTGACGTCTCGTGCCGTTCCCCGGGGGACCCATACTCGCCCCGGAGGCCGCTTGTAAGTAGGTCAAACCGCCCCGGCAGCGCCACCCGCCACCCTGTACTGGGCGGAGGTGGGGCCGAGGAGGAGCGGCGCCCGGAGTGTCCAGTTGGTCCAGTCGAGCATCGGGTGCCCAGTCGGGCGGCGGGAGCGTCACAGCGGCGTCACCTGACGTCACCTCGGTTTGGAAACACACGGGCCGCCGGGGCGCTGCGGCCGCCTCGTGACGCGCGCGAGCGGAAGCAAAAGAAATGTGCTGCGATTGTGTTGGGAGCGGAACCTTCGTGGGCATTGCGTCTCTGTGTTTGTCTCGTGAGCTTGTAGTGCGCGCGCTGTTTTATGTGAGCCATGACAGTATCTTTGTTTTAGTGATTGTGTTCGGTACGAACAAACACTGTGTGGATTGTGATATAAATATTTTCTCTTTACTCTAACAACTATAAGGTTGTTTCCTCTTTTATCTGTGATATAAATAGATCTGTGCAGTAACGCACGTCGGTACATGTAAGTTTTTCTTTGCACAAGCGCTAGTACTTTAAGTAAAGAAAGTTTAATTTAACAGTAAAAGTTTTTTTCTTGTCTTTTTTGTTGACTTTGCCTGTTTTGGTTCTAGTTTTAAGAACTGTAAGACTGTATCTAGTGCGTAGTAGTAGAAGCATTCCATAGACATGTTATTCTAGCCTAAACGCTGCGACACAATTATAACTTTAACATGCTCAGTGAGTCGCCAGACAAACGAATATAAATGGGGTTGTGGCCATAAAGTGGTCACCCTGTACTCAATGTGTTAAAATAGGCTGTATTCGAGCCCTCTGATTCATGTGTTATTGTGTTGATGCTTTCTGTGCTTATAAGCCCTACTTGTTTGTATAAGCCATTGTGACGTTATTGTGTGGAATGCTTTAAATAAATGTTTGTACAATTGTACAAGGTGTTTTCAAACATTACCCGTCCAGAAGTGATGTCTCGAGTTTACAAAACAAACAAACCCAGATAAACGTTACTGATCGATGAACCCGCGACTGCGAAAGAAGGTCGTAATGAAGACAGTGACCCGTGCAGTGGCCAGTTTTGACCCTGAAATGAATAGCCCAGATAGTTTCAGCCTTCAAGTATTATTTTTCTATGACTAAGCATGATAAAAATACTGCAGTAACGGCCCTACAGAGTAACGTTACTTCGTCGGCCCAAAGCATTCCGGCTAAAGCTGAAATGCAGAAGAACGGAGGGAACAAGAAAACGGAAGTCACCATATTGAAGCATAGCGATTTCCGTTTTCTTCTTCCCCGCATTCTTTTGCATTTCAGCTATACCGGAATGCTTTTATCGCATGACTTAGTTTGCGCAGTCAGATAGCAGAGCAAAGGGCTTCCTCTTAGCCTCCGGAAGTAGCAAGCAGCTGCATTGCCCTATTACATAATTCGCACCTCATGGTGCGAATAATTATTACCTATTAATAGACCATTCCGCCGAAAGTGGAAGAAGTAAGAAAAGAATTATAAGGTACCATCAGTGCAGAAGGAGTTGAACCCTTTCTGCTTAGAATATGGACGTCAGATGGTTATTCAATTCTTTCTGCGCTGATGGTACCTGAAAATGTACTCAAAAAACAGTAAGTAGAACATTTTTGTGCACACCAACAAGTCCAGAGTATAGTCCGACCAGCCAAAGGTGACGATTCTTGTGGCGGTTGGAGAACACCCGCACCAGCCCGCACCACCCGTCCCGCTCCCCCGCTAGCCTGTGGAGGGGGTACTGCCGGAGGAGAGGGGGCAGCTCTCAGAATCGTCACCTTTGGCTGGTCGGACTATAATTATTTTTATCAAGAAAACTAGAAAATGTTAACGATTTGATCTGTTTAGCAATACTGTTTCCGCGGAATGGGCGGGGCGACCTGTTTTGTTTTGCCAATGTACGAAACGCGCCAACGTAATATTGCCCCACTTAAACCGACCGTTCCCTTCACAGTTGAAAATCATAATGGAACACAATTTCAATTCAATCACTGTGCATCCTTCACAGCAGACACCCTTGTTTTTGTAAGCACCGAGGGAATGCGAAAACCGCCACTTGACGATATTTAGGCTGAGCAAGTTGTCCATACTGTATACCACAGAACTAAGAAG